TTGGTATTAGGCACGATATAACTGCGTCAAAGTTGAATTTGAGTGAGCTCGAGGAAATGATTCCAGAGATTGATGTTTTGGGCTGTAAGCTTCATTTTAAGAACCATTTTATTTATATCTTTACAATATATATGCAACCAAATTCACCTTTAATCCATTATCAGAGCTTATTTGATTTTTTCACAACTTATGAGCCTGTGCAAAATAATCAAGTTATCATAATTGGTGACTTCAACATCAACTCTCATACAAAATCACTTAAATTAAAAGATTTTCTAGCTTTAACTGACTTCGATCAACTGAACAATATTCCAAACCACTATGGTAACATAATAGACCTTGTCATTACAAACATCAAGTGTGAAATTAACAGACAAACTATACCCCTAGTTCCTGAAGATCTTGCTCACCCCACCCTCACAATTGAAATTGATCCACAAATGGGCTCTTTACCCAGAAACTTCCCTTGCAACACAAATAAAAATTATAACTTTCAAAGAGCAAACTATCCACTTATGTATCAGTTACTATCAGTAACAGATTGGAACTTCTTGGATGATGAACAAGATGTCAATACATCAGTTAATCTCTTTTACAAGACATTTTACAATATTCTTGATCAGTCAGTCCCTCTTTTCCATGTAAACACAAAAAATAAGTTCTCATATCCATCTTGGTACACTAGAGAAATAATAAGACACTTAAACCAAAAACAAAGGCTACACAACAATTACAAAAAAAACTAAATTAAAAAGTGACTATGACTTTTTTTCGACTCTTAGGCAGACTATTAAAGCAGAAATTGATGAAGCCTACAGATCTTACATAAGAAATACTGAATCATCAATAAAAAGGGAACCTAAGAATTTTTGGAAATATATCCGGCAAAAACGGCAAAAATCTCGTATACCAGGATCAATGATTCTGGACCAATTGTCTTTAGAGTCCCCGCAAAACATAGTGGATGGATTTGCCAATTTTTTCAAAAGTGTATATGTTGCATCATCAGATCCCTTCTCAATTAACCCTGTCGAGCCCTACAACTCTCAAAATATATCCATTAATAATATTTCTCAGCTTGAAGTGTGCAGTGCACTCAAAAAATTAAAAGATACAAAAACTGCAGGTTATGATAAAATACCATCTTTTATATTGCGTGATTGCTCACCGTTTCTATCAGCGCCCTTACATCTTATCTTCATAAAATTTTAAGAAATAATATATTTCCGGAAAAATGGAAAAAAACTAAGATTTGTCCTGTCTTTAAGGCAGGTCAAAATAATAATATCACTAACTATCGACCTATCTCCATACTGTCCAACTTTTCGAAGGCCTTTGAAATCTGTATTCACAACAATCTCTTCCATCAAGTTAAAAACCTAATATCTCCTACTCAACATGGCTTCTTCCCACAGAGATCAACTATCACAAATCTTACAAGTTTCCTACAAAGAGCTTATCAAGCTATCAATAATAGGAAACAACTTGACGTCATATATACTGACTTTTCCAAGGCCTTCGATAAGTTGGATCATGGTCTCATTGCCCGGAAAATGTACAACATTGGGTTTCATAGGAACCTGGTGAATCTATTTATCTCATATTTGAGTGGGCGAACACAGTTTGTGGAGTACAACGGTTTTCGTTCTGCTGACTTCAGCGCTTCAAGTGGCGCTCCTCAGGGAAGCAATCTAGCTCCTCTAATATTCGCTATTTTTGTGAATGATATCACCGACACTATCTCATCTAACTGTGTACTGTTTGCTGATGATCTGAAGATTTTTAGAATTATTGACACCATACAGGACTGCTCAGAATTACAAAACGACATTGACTCCCTGTCTTCTTGGTGTATCACAAATAAACTTCCGCTAAATATTAATAAATGCCGTTCTATGACTATTTCCAAACTTCATAATGAAGTGAAGTTTGCATATAGACTTGAAAATACCAATCTTTCAAGTGTAGATTCCATACGAGACCTTGGGGTAATTATCGACAGTAAACTGAGCTTTAATAAACATATTGACCAAATCGTTCAAGCTTCTTTGAAAACACTTGGCTTTATTATTAGGTCTACAAAAGATTTCACAAATACGGAGGGCTTGATTGCCTTGTACAACTCATTGATAAAATCAAAATTACAATATGCAGCTCTGATATGGTTTCCTAGTTATGATGTACATGTTGACAGGCTCGAATATGTCCAGCGCAGATTTCTCAAGTACCTAAGCTTTAAGCAGGATGGCATTTACCCTCCACGGGGATATGACCACAAATTATTACTAGAAAGATTTAACTTTTTATCACTTAAGCAAAGTACAATTCTTGCCAGTCAATTGTTCATTTTCAAAATATGCAATAATTTAATTGATTCGGCTGAAATATTAAGTTGCCTCAATTTTTTGGTTCCTGCAGCAAACACCCGAACTCACCATAAATTTTATCTGGAAAACTGTCATTCTAATCTCGCCAGAAATGCGCCTATATATAGAGCCTGCTCATGGCATAATCAATTAATACCCATTGTACTTGAGTTGGATCTTTTCAATGGTACTGTAAAGTCATTTAAAACTAAAATTATATCACAGATAAAAAATGCTCTCCTGAATTAAATTGCTCTAGTGATTGTTTTGATTGATTATTGAATCTTGCATTTTTGTGGAATATTGCTGATTAGCTTGGGGTTAACTTTTTGTCCTGGGGTTTTGCTGGGGGAAGCTGTTGATGCTGCTTAATATACTTAATTTACATCTGTTTTCTCTTGATTGTTAATTACAAACTATAGTTAGTTACTTCATGTATTTGTATATGAAGCATATGTCAAAACCTAGTTTTAAGTTTACAATAACATTTGTCTAGTCTTTAATTTGAGATTATTATAATTGTCTTGTTATTGGGTTTATCCTGTTAGACAATAAACAAATAAATAAATAAATAAATAAATAAATCCCCGACAGCCGCAACCGGCATGATGCGTCGTTGCCGCTTGCCGTTTATTGATGCAGTGTAGCCAATTTATCGCGGAAAATTAATATTTTTTTCATCTTTGATATATATCACGAATTTTGATATTTATTGAAGTGAAAATATCATGATATATATCGTGATATATATCATGATATTTATCACTTGATATATATCAGCGAACCCTGAAATCGAGAAACACCCTCTAGCGGCTAAACGGTTGAAGATATCAAAATGCGGTTTGCACCAATCAAAATTTCATGAAATTTGAGCCTCAGAGTGGGGGGGTTCATTTTTTTCTATCTCAAAAAATAAAGGGTGTTTCCATAAGAAAGTGTCCAATTTGGGCCACCCTGTACATTGATTTTGTATTGTATTTTATGTACCAGCTAACCGCCCCTCGGGCTTATGTCATCTGCAAACGATTCATATTTGGTCTCCAGTTCTTGGTTTAAGTCACACAAATAAGCCAAGAAAAGCAAGGTTCCCAAGACCCTTGTGATACGCCGCTGTGTACAGGGTATTCAACTGAGAGTGATATTCCCGAGGATATTCCTGTCCTAACCTGAAAGGTATGTCCAGTAAGGAATTCTGCAAGAAGTTGCAATAGATCGCCCCTGACTCCAAAATATGATAGTTTGTATAAGTATATATAGCTGGCATCTTATCAAATGCTTTTTCAAAGTCAAGAAAAACTACATCAATTCTAGGGAACTCATCAAGTGCAGGGCTGGAGTTCACCCTTAGCACTTTCACGACCACGCGTCACACATATGTGACAAGCAGTTTTTGCCAGGAACTGATGTCACACAAGAGTGACAATGACCCTACAATGATTGAATGCAAATAACTCCCGGGCGGTTCAACGGCGACATATGTGTTTTGGCATCAGTTTCTAGGACTGTTTGGCAGACATTTGTGTCGCATGGTTTCAGGATTGTATAATCTGTTTCAGTCTTAAGCTTGTGGCAGCTGTGGTTCATATCTAAAATCATATCGTCTCCCAACTAATGCGGATTTCTGTTGTTTCTAGACTCTCCTACTGGAGTTTGACGTTACAAGGTAACACTCACTGGATATTGAACAATAATTATCGCCTATACAGAGTAGCCGAGAGTCTAGAACAGCTAACAGTTTATGTCACACATGTGTGTCGCACGGTTTGCCATCGTGACAGTTGGTAAATTTTAATGGAAAACTTATCGGAAACCGATGTCACATATATGTGACATTGAATGTTATCACAAAAAATATATAACAAAACACATATAACCTGTAAAAAATACATAATTTCTGTCAAAAGTTATGCTACCCAAAAAAACACGGTTGGTTTCGAGCATCGTCAAATTTCATAATAGCGGTCGTGAAAGTGTTAGGGACTTAATGGCGATCTCTTCCTTTTCTGGGGTGAAGTTTTTGGTGTTGATTTCTGTTCTGGAGTAGGTTTCAACTGGAAGTTTTGGTCTAATATCTGTAGGGCTGAGTTAAGTAAAACGCTCTGAAATTGCTGTACATACAAAACACACTGCAACCTCCTGGTCAGATTCAAATCGGTCCAGAGTTGCTTTGTCAACAATACTGAAGTGAGTGTATTTAGAGCTAAGGTTAGAGTTAAGATTTTGTTCATATTCAACTTTTGACCTTATTATTTTGATGCTGGTACTATTGGTATTATTGTGCCACAAGTCTTTTTTCCTTTTTATTTCCTTAAATACTGCCTTAATTAACCATGGTTTTTGTACATCAACTTTTTGTGGTGTGTATGGCATATGCTTGTTGATTGTAAATCCCAAAGCCTCATAGAATTCTTCAAATGAATGTGGGTTAGTAGCCTGTGCAAGTTGTTGCTGAAGGGTTTGGTTTACTCCAGTATAATCGGCCTTCCAAAAGTTCTCCTTTGTAGATTTTATGTGTAGGCTCTGTAATTATTTGAAGTTTTGGCAGTTACTACAATGTTGTCACTTTTTCCAAGGGGTACATATTCCTGAACATCAAAAATTAATGTGTTCCATGTGTAAAATAAGTTATTTTAGCTTCTCATAATGGATGCCCGCTCTTATACAACAGCAGTAGCCAACAGAGCCAGAGGAGGCGGTTGTGAATGTCCCGAATATTATCCCAACTGCGAAATACAATTTATGAATTTGGCAAACATACATTCCATTAGGAAGAGTTTTCAAGGACTCAGGCAGCTTTGTATGTCTTCTGCTGAGCAACCAAAGTAAGATGTTTTTATTATTTCAAATTGTATTCGATTCATAATGATTATTTTAGCTGGTTTAGTCTTCTGGAAGGCACCCGTTGGCTGTTACACATGTCAGGACTTATAAAAGCAGCAGTTATTTTAGCTACAGCTGTTGAAAGGGATGCCCGACCAGTACTAGTGCATTGTTCGGATGGTTGGGATAGGACACCACAAATAGTAGCTCTCGCAGAGCTTCTACTGGATCCATACTATAGGACCATGGATGGATTTAGAGTGCTTGTTGAAAGGGAATGGTTGGCTTACGGACACAAATTCGCGGACAGGTGTGGGCATTCTGGGGGAAGTGAGGATGTGAATGAAAGGTGTCCTGTGTTTTTACAGGTAAGAACTAATTTTCTTGTTGGTTACTAGGCATTAAATACCTACACTTTATTTTTTCCCAAGATAGATTTTGACATTGAAAACTTTGAAACGTAAACAATAATGCTTGACCCTGATTGGTCGCAAAATGAGGTGTTTCTGCAGGTTGACATCAGTTTTACAATAGCGACCAATAAGCGGCATTAGCGGTATTGTTTATGTTTCAAAGTTGACAATGCCATAATCTATCTTGGAAAAAAATAAACCATAGAGAAAAAATTAAATTTTAAGTATAGCTTTGTTATAATAGGCTAAACTATAAAAGATAATGGAATTATTGGAAATGCAAGTTTTAGCTTTGTTAAAGTGATTTTTCTTTTCCTAACACAATTATCAGGTCATTGCCTTTGTTTTATGGGATAATGATTTAAGTATAAACCTTGAACAAAGATCAATTTGTATATAAAATTTATGTTTGTGTCAGCTCACTTTGATTATCGTTTTTAAGTAATCAAATCATTTGCTCAGGAAGCTTGCAGCAAGTTCTATAGATTTTATTTTTTGATTTTATTAACCAATTTCCAAGATAAAAATAAACTTAGAAAAATAAAATATAATTGAAAAGGGCGAATCATCTGGCCCTTTGGAAAACCTTCGTTTTGTAAGCCCTTAGTTTTGAATCATAGCGACTCCAGAGTCTATAAAGTCATCATATTGTTTGTGTTATTCAAGCTTCAGTATTGACTCCCAAATCAACAGCACCTTGAGGGAGCTTCCTCTGCAATTTTGAAAAATAATGCCCTAAACTTTTAGAATAGTTGGAATCTTAAAAAAAAACAGTTTTACAGCTGAGAAGCTTCAAAGTTAAAATTATCAAACATTGAAAATTTTCCAAAAATGACACTAGACAGTTTTTTCGGCCTCACAGTTCCGTTAATTTTCATCTGATTTCAATGTAATTTAGCTCTAATTAAAGTCAATTCAATTCTCTACGCACCTGTTAATTGACATTTTGATTTAGTTTCAACAGTTTTGCAGCTGGGAAGCTTCAATATGGAAACTAACGAACATTGAAAATTTTCCAAAAATTACATTGAGATAGTTTCTGCCTCACAGCTCCATTAATTTTCATCCGATTTCAATGTAATTAGGCTCTAATTAAAGCCAATTGAAATCTCTCTCTTTTTGGTTTGTTGTGATCTAAAATTCTGAATTTTCCTATTTTAAAGTCTGGAAACTTGTGTGGAAGGCCCTTTTTACCCTTAAATTACTCAAAAATACAACTTCCCCAACCAAATGGAACAATATTATATTAAAAACAATTTTCCGCAACTTGAATTTTGAAATTTGTTGCTGCTACACTTACCGTGATAGTATACCTATTAGTGCAGCAAATGAGATCTATGACAACTATGACATTAGGTTCAAACCACAAATGTTGGTAGATATTGGTAAAATTTCAGGAGAAAAAGGGAAAAGTGAGGAGCTCATCATACTAAAATTTCAAACTTTTCCAGTGAAAAATTACAAAATGGGAAATTAATGTAAATCAACTTGCAAAATCCATATTGAAGTCTAAAGTGTTCTAACTTGGCTTGAAGAGTTCTGGAGCATTTTAGAAGTTTTTCAGTAACTTTTAAATTATTCTGACAGATTTTTAGAGCCCTATTGAAGCTCCAAAATGTTCTAAATTGATTCCTAATTGTTCTAATATTTGGCTATTTTCTCCTCTTAATTAAACGAGATATTTTCAATTTTTTGGAGCGATAAACGAAAGGTGTCTACTACTTATAACAGTCACTGCGCAACCCAGAAATTATATTCTGGAAACAAGAAAAATGAATTAATTGTTCTAAAATAACTCTGCGGTTTCTCAATTGTTCTTGATTGAACTATACATCATTGAAAAGTGCAATAACTTCTCTATAATACCTGTGCACAATTAGGTTTTGTAGCTTGTAGAGTTTTAGAGATATTGAGCCTCAAAGTTGAAATGTATTCTAGTCTACATTTTGTCCAAAACTTCAAACTAGATTTTCTCAAAAACCGTAAATGTTGTAGCCCTTATCAAGGACTACAATTTCTGTGCCAGGTTCCAGTACCGCTTTTGGCTGCCGACATATTTGAGATTCAACATTTCCAAATAAAAATGCAGAGGGAGTAGGTACCCTTAGAAAAAAGTGCAGAAAATTTCTATTTTTGGATTTTTCTTAGAATTAGTGTCCAAAATTTTCAAAAAGCACCTCAACAAAGTATAAATCTAATTTTCAAAAATAGAAAAAGAAAATTTTGCATCACAAACCCATTTTTTAAAACTAGAGATTTTATATGAACGAGAAATTCAAAGCCATGTAGGTCCGAGGATGCTGTAGGTACTCAACTGGCAAAACCTCTAACCTGAATATTAATTAAATAATTTAAGGCTCTTTGGGTTCCCTGCGTTATTACTGTTAAATTCTGCACACAAACCAACTAATCAATTACTACTAATTTATATTCAATCAACTCTTCTTTTCAGTGGCTTGACTGCGTCCATCAACTAATTATCCAGTTCCCGGTCTCTTTCGAGTTTTCCCACAATTACTTAATCAAACTGGCACAGCACACCTACTCCAATTTATATGGTACATTTTTGTGCAACACCCAGAAGCAAAGAACCAAAATCGTCCACGGACGAACGTTTTCCGTTTGGGAATTTCTAAGCTCTGCAACTTTCAAAAATCACTTGTACTCTCCCAGTGCCACTGCCGGAAGAGTATTATGGCCAAAAACTAATGTAAGAGATTTGATATTATGGTCCGAAGTTTACTTGGGTTCAATGGAAGCGAACTTTAATCCCGAAGATGGATGCGGCGGGGCTTGTCCGGGACCTCCCGAATTCAACGGACACTTGAACATGTCCAAAACTCGATCTTACGGTGATTTAATAAATGCTGACATTTGCCATAGCTTTAGTAGAAGAAGCAGCGATCCCAGTATTAATAGAGAATTAAAACTTGTGCCTCATGAGAACTCTACAACAGCGACAATTGATAGCAACATGACAACAAATGGGCATCACAATAATGGTCCGGATTTTCTTCCGAGCGATTTGGAAGACAATCCATCTGATTGCAATCAAGACTGTTTATTTAATTTACACGAGAATCTTAAAACAAATTTAACTGATGATCAAATTGATGGTTTGGGTTCAAATTTTGAAGATCCAATTGAAGTTCAAGAAGATAAATGTACAAATAATATTGTTGATTTAGAGGATAATGAAGGAGATACTTTGACAAATGGTGTGGCTGATATTTTTTTAGGTATGTTTTGATTTGTAAGGAAAACTTAGTTTATGATTATTTTTTTATTTTTTTGGTATTTAGATGGTGGTAATGAGAATGGCATTAAAGAAATTGATAATGATTCAACGCGCAGTGAAAGAGGATCAAAGGCTGATGATTTGGACGTCGATGTTTTTTTGGCATATAATAATGGATCGGTGGCGTCAAGTGGTAGTGAACACGGTGATAATACTAGTTGTAGTGCGAAGGACAATATTGAAAATGAATTATGTGAGACACAAGCAAAAATGGTGATAAATTTAGCTAAGTCAGTGGAAACGAGTACTGAAACTCTTGTGTCCGATCAAATTATTGCTGGGTAAGAATCAACATACTTATTTAGAATAATAATTATACATAATTGTTTTTAATTTTTAGTTCTCCCAAAGAATATAATGGTTTTGAAAAAATACAAAGTCCGATAGACGACAGAGATGTCACTGACAGTTGTAATGTTTGTACACAGCAAAATGGTAATACAAATTTTAGTTCACTGTCCAACGGTTGGACAGGAGCTTATGTACATAGTCATAGATATAGAAGCCGGGTTAATAATTGTCAGTTGGGAGAAGATGGACTTGTACCTATAAGGTCGCCGGAACAGGAGAGATTAGATCAGATTGTTGAGGAAAATAAAGTAAGTTACCTAGGACCCAATTCTTGAAAAATCTCGCATATGAAAATTGATATGATTTTGAACGTTCCCTAATTAATTTACGTTGCTGTCATTCGAATTTGAATCAACTTTCATATGCGAGAATATTCAAGAATTGACCCCCTAAAGTTCGAACTAACTACTAAGAAGAATACACACGCGTTGTTGTTTGTCTCACTTCAAATGGGAGGGCCCTAGAGAAAAGGAAATTTGCCTTCTCCGTCAGTAATCACGTCAGTTGCTTCTTCTTGGCCGGTTCTTACTGTACCCACATTGAAAATATAAATTTATAATTGCTTTTTTAGCGTAAAATCGAATTGTTAGAAAAAGAGTTGCACGCATCCAGACAAATTTTAATAAGACAAGCTTGCCACAGGTGTCAAATTGGCGATGGCGAAAAACATGATGATAGTGTAAGTACCATTTTTCTATTAGTAAAAATTTGGAATAAATTTTACTACATTGAACTCTGTTTCTGTTTAGTTTAGTAGTTCGCGTTCGACTTCTTCAAGTGGCAGTTCTAGTTACTCAAAAAGATATATAACAGGGGAAAAGGTACTACAAGTGAGATTTTTGTTGTCAAAAATTTATTTTTGATTGAAGCTAACCACTAATCAAAGTTTCAGGGCTTCTTTTCATTACACACAAAAGGAATACTTAATGCAAGGGTTGTTTTTCTTTTTAAATTAATTGCAGAGGGTACGTTCCTTTACTAATCCAGATTTTTTTTTTAAATAATGGTTACTCGACTCGTAAGCCAAAAGTTTAACCACTGTTGAAAATGTCCACTTCAAAACCTTCGAGTTGTGAAAAAAATATTATAATTGCATGATAGAGGCGTTGTTGTCTTTGAAACATACTTACCATGACGTATGCCTTATCATTTTATCATAATAATAATTATTATTATCACACAAATTACATATTTCTTTCTAGGCTTCAGTGGTGGAATCCTTAAACAGTGCGGGTGAAGGTCCAGCGTCCGCAGCAGGTGAATCTCATCGCTCAGACATGTCCTGGGTAGACGTGGAAGAAGGCGTGGTCGCAGCCGAATGTCAAGGTACATTGTGGGTGCCCGATCATGCTGTGAGCCGTTGCACAGGTTGCGGTACCGAGTTTTGGTTGGGCAGGCGACGGCATCATTGTAGGTAAGTCGCAACGAATTTCATTGATTTATTTACAGAGTTGAAAAGTTAACTATGTCTCTCAGAAAATGCGGTCGTATATTCTGCGCGGATTGTTCCGAACACGCCACTCCTTTACCTTCCGAGCAGCTCTATAATCCTGTTCGGGTGTGCTCCGGGTGCTACTCGGAGTTGAGTAGATGTTTCGATCGTCCCACTCTACAAACTATTTCGGATATGCCGCCTGACAGGTGCAAAAGAGCCGTAGCGACGCAGGTGCCGCAATGCAGTCAGCATTTGCATCATAACCAAATTGCCGCCTCTAGCAATTAATGTACTAGTTTGTTTTTTTTGTGATTTTTTCCAAAAAAAGAAAAAAGTTAGGCTATTTTAAGTAAATTTTTTAATTGTAAAATTTTTGTAAAACTGGTTTTGTTTGATTGTCGTAGCCTAAATTTCGATTTATCTAGGCTATGCCTTGTAGTTGTTTAAAACGGTATATTATTTTAAGTTGTCTAAATCAATATTTCAAATAAAAGCAGCACAAGAATACTCTTAAAACAAGTGCAGGTTGCGGCTTTGATGACAAAATATGTTTATTTGTAAATACACTAAAATAGAGTTCCTTCAGAGATTAAATCTATGTAAAAAAAGAGATGATATTTTAATTTTTGCACTAATGTCGCTGATGTTATTAGAAGTCTTTTGCTGTGCCTTTGTAAAAATAAATATTCAACATTGCAAAAGACTCCTTTTGAAGACATATAAAAGTTGTATTGCAGGGCATTATTAATAATCCATAAAAATGCTTTTTAACAAAATACGTAAGTCAAATAAGTACCTTTATACATTGATTTCCTTTAAAATTTCATTGTAAAAATTTTGAATGAAATCACAGCCTACGCTGTTGTTTCCGTAATATGGAGAATTATTTCATTATACTTTTTTTTTTTAACATCAACATAGTGCATTTAAATTTTAGCATATACATTATACATATTACTTATAGGAATGAATTATATTAATTGTACTTTATTATTATATTATTTTAGTTGCAAATACAAAAAAAAATATTTAATTATAAAATTGTGCTTTATTTCAATGGAAGCAATAGGTTTAAATTAATGAGATAATTGCCATTTTTTTTTACAATAGTGTCAACAAGCAAAGCTACTTAGTTACTTGACCGACTTATTGATTGGCGATAAACGAATATAAATAGTGTTCGGCAACACACGGATAGGCAGACTTGAACCAGCGCAATTACCCCTTTTGGGCAAGCTCCTCTGGCCTCAAGTCTCCACACAGCGCAATTACCTTTTTTGGAAAAGCTTCTCTGGGTGTCTTCAGTCTTCGTGTCGTCTAGTGCAATAACCTCTTTTGGGAAAGCCCCTCTGGACGGCCCTTCACTTTAACGAATCGCACCTAACGTAGGTTTATGTTTTTTCAGGTCGCTCCCCCTGTGCCCCTATAGAAGAGCCACTTTGTACCATAGGACTATCCTTCGATAATTACTATCATAATCTTTACAATTATACCTTAAATTAAATACCAAGCGACTCTATACTCTTTAATCTACGCTACATACCCCGTCACCACAGGATAAAGTTGTGACATTTGGTGGAGGCGCCGTCTCGAAACCAACGCCGACGACGTCTTTAGGCGCCTTGAAAGCAAGCCAACGCCCACACCGCGCCACGACCCGGTTACGTTGACAAAAGAGAGATTCACGACACCCTGGCAAAGGCACTTAAGAAGAAAGAAAAGTACAGAAATCCCGCAAAAAAATAGTACTATTAGATCGATGGGTGAAGGCGCAAGGGTTATCAAAATAGCATATAGGAATATAGGAAAAGTATTACATAAATCACAAATCGAATGTCAGAAGAAGAACAGGATAAATACAATCTACGATCCGAAGGCACGAGACGCCTAGCAAAAAACACTGTTTAAGCCAAAGACATAAGCACAGCACTCGGACACTAACAAAATCAACACCACAATCTCCAACTTTTGATTGGGAGCAAATCACGGAAATAATAGGAGGAAATCTAATACCACTCGAAATTGCATCAGAAAGCCAAGATAGAACAGTAAATCAACTAACAGACATATACCGCCTGTGAAAAGTCTCATCCTCACAGATAATAGCAAAATGGCCAATACAACTATTGTCGAAGCCATGCAAACGGAGAAAAAACCAGCCGTACCCCAATTTATAAGTCCTCCGACGTTCCACCCTTGCAGAAGCAGTGCGACAGAATTTTTGAGGGCCTATGAAAGGACGGCCATAGCAAACGGGTGGAATGACACACTTAAAATTACCTATTTTGAGACATTTCTAGACGGCGCAGCTAACCTGTGGTTTCAAGAATACAAAATAAATTATCAGGACAAAGAGTGGAAAGACATCATTAATGATGTTGGGGTTTTCGATGATTTCGATTTTCGAAGGACCAGTCAAACAACTAGGTTTGACAAAAAACGATTTTATTCTGATAAAGATCTCGATAAAAATGGACGAAATGGACTGTGAACGTGTGTTAACGATTTGACAAAGTTCAAGAATAATAATGACAAATAATGACAATTGGAAACGCCATAATTAATTATAACAAAAAAAAGTCTCATCCATGGTTACAAAAATCCAGGAACCATGATAAAATGTTTTTGTGGGTGCGCTCGGAATGGAACATGCCGCCCGCCTTGAAAATCCACTTTTCAACAGCAAGAAGTCCTAATGCGAACATGTTGGAGCACTAGACTTCCACAGGCAACAAGCACACTTTGTTTATGGCGCATTTAACGATATTGCCATTTGGCAGTTTTACTGACACTACACGCACCACATTGTTTGAGCCATGAAATAGTTCAATCACTCGAGCCATCGGCCACTTTAACGGTGGTGTGTTGTCTTCGATCAGCACAACCAAAGAGTCCACTTTTAAGCCAGTCTCAATTGTGTGCTGCCACTTGGAACGAGTCTGCATTTGAGTAAGATAGTCTCTTGACCAACGTTGCCAAAACTGCTGCCTCAACTGCTGAAGTCGATGATAGCGATCCAACCTTGTAGTTTTGACGTCCCTGACATCTTCTTCTGGAGGACTCGTCAGCGAGTTCCCGATCAAAAAATGCGCTGGAGTTAGGCAAAGAAAGTCCCGGGGATCATTTGACAATGGCGTCAACGGCCGAGAGTTCAAGCATGCTTCGATCTGTACAATTAAAGTATACATTTCTTCGAAACTTAAAGACGATTCGCCCAAAACACGCTTTAAATGGAATTTCGTGGATTTCACGGCCGCCTCCCAAAGACCTCCCATGTGAGGTGATCGCGCAGGAATGAAATGCCAATTTATTTGGTCTTCTGTCAAAAATCTGGAAACCGTTTGTTTATGTTTAGGATCGTTAAGGACACGATATAACTCGATAAAATGGTTGTTAGGTTAGCTCCAACAAAATTTAACCCATTATCCGAGTAAATGTTTAAAGGCTTACCCCTTCGTGAACAAAATCTTTTTAACACGTTTAAAAAGCTCGAAGAAGTCAAGTCAGAGGCTAGTTCGATATGAGTAGCACGGGTAGAAAAACAAACAAAAATACATATATTATATGTTTTAATTATTTTACTGCGACGTAAAATACCATCTTTGATAAAGATTGGCCCGGCATAGTCGATGCCGCAATTAGTAAAAGGCCGATTTGGAGTCACTCTAGTAGTTGGTAAATCTCCCATCAAAAACTTACACGGTTTGGGATTTACTCTGCAACACCTAACACACGATTTTATGACATGCTTAACTGCATTTTTTCCATTTACTGGCCAGTATGTCAACCTAATAATCGATAATAAATTTTGAGTTCCGGCATGTAAATATTTATTATGATAATCCAAAATTATCAAATAAGTTAATCTATGTTTATTTGGTAAAATGATAGGATGTTGTTGATTGAATGTTAACTCCGATTTGGATAATCTGCCTCCAACTCTTAAAATATTCTGTTCATCTAAAAACGGGTTTAAATTTAAAATTTTACTCTGCCTATATTTAACTGACTTGAAGCTTTTTATTTCATTAATTTCTTGTTTGAAGGATTGAGATTGAGCTAACATTATTAACCTCTGCTTAGCATAGCTAAGTTCTTCGCAACTTAACAATTTGTCCAAAGGTTTTTTATTTAAACGAGTTTTAAATCTTAAAATATAGGAAACCATTCTTACTAGCTTTGAAAATGTAGAATATTTGTCAAAAATGTTAAATTGATTTTCTGATTTAGTTTCTTCATTGCGATTAAGTACTGTAAAAGAATTTGCTTTTACCTCAGGTAAATTTTCAAAGTTAGATTCCGGGTTATATGTCAAGTCTGGATTAATTTGATGATTAATACATTCTGAACCATTAAACCAAAGTTTGTTGTTAACTAAATCATTTGGATTTAAGCCGCGTGAAATTATATCTGCTGGATTATTATTGGTTCTGACATGGTTCCATTGATTTACATTTGAAAGTTCAGTAATTCTTGCGTCAAAAACCACCCTACTCTTTGTGGTCACTGAAGATTCCCTGAGTACCGCTGTATGAGGCAAGAAAAAAGATTTACTGTTCGATTTGTCGTTTTCTAAAGTATTAATAAATGTCATGTGTCCAAACGATTCATGGTCTTTCATGAATTCAATATATTGAGTTTTTAAACTTTCATTTTTCAAAAATCGGTTTTGTAAACTTTTAAATCGTTTGATTGCTGATGATTTGGAATCTCCTTGTTGTTCCATAAAGTCTGGTTTAAAAAGATATTTTACTACAAAATTGCCGTTTTCATTACGTGTTGTTGTCGATTTGAAATATTCTTCACAAAACTGATCATTTTCTGATAGTGGAATTGCGGTATCCACTTCCTCTATTTGCCAAAGTTTTGTTAAGTTTTCATTTAGTTGTTTATTGGTAATTTTACTGAAGTTGCATATTTGTCGATTGATATTTTTATTTTCATTTAAAAATAGATTTCCAGTAATAATCCATCCTAACCTTGTTTCTTGTAATCTGGGTAGATTATTTCCTAATTTAATTTTTCCCTGTTTCAACAAATCAAAAAATAATTCGGCACCAATTAAAAGTTCAATTGGTTTTGGATTATTGAATTGTTCGTCAGCTAATTTCAATGTGCGAGGTAAAGATAATTGAGTTTTATTGAATTTTTGCAATGGAAGTTTTTCTGTTATTTCTGGTATTACTAGAAGATGTAGTTCAAATTCAAAATCTTCACATCGCGATCTTACTTTTGCAATTGTTTTGCTATTTATCTGAGTTTCGATTTTATTTATACCACTTAAGGGAATATTTATTTTTTCACTTTTAAGTCCGAGTTTTTCAAAAAGGAATTTACTGATTAAATGCGATTGACTTCCTGAATCAAGTAAAGCTGTGCATTCGATCCAATTTTTACAATTATCTTGAATCAAAACAGTGGCGGTCGATAATAAAATTTGGTTTGAATCAATGGTAGTAAAAGTATGCATAGCATTTTGACTTAAAATAGAATTTTCCGACTCTTGATTTTGAATATTGTTAGTTCGATTTATGTTCAAATCATTTGGGCTGATAAAACACATACTAGGTGAATTTTCAAAAGGTGGCGAATTTGTTGCCGCTCCAGCAACTTGCCGCCCACCATTCGAGTTTTGGGATTGCTGATTAGGATTGTCTGCATTGCTGCTTTTTGAACTATACTTGTTTTGTTGATTTTCGTTTCGATTAAAACTGTATTGATTTTGATCAGGATTTTGTCTGCTATGAAACTCATTATTTTCGTGATGTAAAGTTGTATTATGTTTCCTATTGCACTTTTTGCACCCGCTAGAGAAACAATTTTGTTTGTTATGACCCGGTCTAAGACAATTAGTACAAAGTTTCCTCTTATTGATTTCATTATATTTTTCCGATATTGTTAACTTTGCAAATTGTGGGCAATGATAAATGAAATGTGACTCATTACATATTGGACAAGAATATTGTGTGTTCTGATTAAAATGTGTGAATGTTTGTGGATTAGTGTGACTGTGTCCAACTACTTTTTTAAAACT